TCACAGGTGGTTTGATAGACAGATAACTAATGGATGGATAATTGATGAGTGATGGATGGATGGACGGATGGACAGATGGAGGACAGATGGACAGATGGTGGACAGATGGATGGATGGATGGATAGAGGAATGGATGGAAGAAAAGACTGGATATAGGATGGGTGCTTAATGGCAGGATTAAAAAAGGAAAGATGGTTAAAGAATGACTTCACAGATGGTTGGCTGGATGTTGGATGGTGGAGGGATGGACGGATGGATGGATGGTGGAAGGATGGATGGATGGATGGATGGACAGATGGATGGATGGGCAGATGGATGGACAGATGGATGCTTAAATGACTGAGTGAACAAAGGAAGGGATGGCATCATCTTCAGGACTCAGCTGATAAACTTTAAGTCCTCAAAGACGTAGGCGCCAATCATTTACCCCATCATTGCCCTGGCCTGGGGCCTCACTCTTCCCTTCTCGGAGTTCTGAACACCGGGCCCTCCCATCATGCTGCACACCAGGCCCACACCTGGCCCAGGTGCCTTCTGCAGGGCTCAGACACAGCAGATGCCTCCACCCTTGGCATGGCCACCTCCAGTCCAGCTGGTGACACCTGCAGAGGAACAGGTCACCCGCAATGCACAGATGCTGTCACATGGAAATCAGTGGTGCTGACAGTGAGGACTCCAGGAAGCCCAGGGCATCTGCAAAGGACCTGCAGGAGGACCTGGGCCAAGGCTTAGGAGGGGCAGGAGACGCGATGTTAGGTGGAAACAGACAGCAGCCACTGTGCAGTCTGGGGGCGCAGAGGTGTGTTCCTGGCACAGGCAATCCGGAAGGGCCATGTACACCTGATGGCAGTGGAGGGTCCTGGGTGAGGCCAGGGCCAGGCCACACAGAGGGGGCCACTAGCTGTGTCCTGCTGATGGCCGTGGCCTTGCAGCCCAGACTCAAGGCCTGCACAGAGGACAGAGAGGAAACGGCACCAGCTGGGGACATCTGACCGCATGGAAGTATGGGATGCATCCAGCCTTGCATGCATCTGCTGAGCATCTTCTCGCTTGTGTTGGTCATTGCTGCCTTTATTAATAGATGTGGTTTCTTCCCCCTGTCATTGCTCCAAGATTAATGAGCAGAGCAGAGCGTTGCCAGGGACATTATGTCTACAGCCACCTGCCAAAGAGGGCGCGTCGTGTGGGGGCAGGGTGGGCACTGTGCACGGTGCAGCCAGCAGGATCTGGGGACCAGGCGTGGTGGGGAAGCAAGTGATGAGCATGGGTTTCCCCGAAGGTGCTTCATCTTCTTGTCCTGCAGGAAGCGGGCTGGGGCTGATGCCAGGAGCCAGACGCTGCCATGCCAACTCCGGCACACTCCACGACGTCCACCTGCTTCCCAGAGGATGCAGAACGCAGGCCCAGGTCCTGGCAGAGGCCCTTGTCTTTAGTCCTCCACCCCTGGCCTCACCTGACCAGTACCCAGGAGACAGCTCTGGAGCTGTGGTAGGGACCAGGTGGGCACGGGATACAACAGCACCAGCTTCCAATCAGACTTGCTCCCGGGCTGAGCTGACCCCACCTGGCTTGAATGGATAAGGCCAGCAGTCCCTGAGCAGCTATGGGGCTGCTTCACTCAGGGAAAGCCCACCGAGCACCAGCTCTGTCAGAGCATGCAGAAGGTTCACACCATTCCTGAGCCAGCAGAGAATCAGGGCAGGGCCCTCACCGTCCCTGCAGAGGCACGCGGGCTTGCAGCATGTGTGGGAGGGGACCTCAGGACTCAGGCAATGAAAACATCTTCCTCTGGATCACACTGCTCTGAGGAGCTAGGTATTAGGATGTACCCTAAAATCAAAAGCAACCACAACCCCAGGCCTCAGTTTCCCTGCTGCACAAGAGGTACAAACAGGACTTGCCTATCCCAGGATGCTTACGACAACCACTATGTGCAACACACTCATAAAAAGAAATTATAAAGAGGCAAAGAGCAAGGGACATTCCCAGCACTGAGGAGGTGGGACTCCTGCCTCCCTGCCACCAGAGGTGGCCTGAGACCCCTCACTTAAGCAAGCTCAAGGACAGCAAGCAGCACTGCCATGAATCAAGGCACACTTCCACCTCCTGGTGCCCCTGCTTCCTCTTGTCCCCAGCCCCTCTCATAACACACAGCCCTGGGCGTCCCAGGGGCCAGTCCTTGAGGAAAGGGCCACACAAATCCAGAGCCAGAGAGAAGCATCTAGCCCAAGGCAGGTGTGCAGTATGGCGCTCAAAGAAATGAGAAAGGAATGAGCAGGCCAGACAATGGGAAATGAAGGGTCCAATCAGTGGCTTCAAACCATCCAGTCAACAAATGGAGCAATGAGCCAACTAATGGACAAATGAACCAGCCAATCAGAGAGCAAATGAAGGGTTGAGCCAACCTACCAGTGAGCAAGCAAACAAGCTGACCAATGAAGAGGTGAAGACGCAAGCAAACCATCCAATGAATACAGGAGTCAAAACACATATAGATGAGCTCACAAAGAGAAGGCGGAATCGGTGAACAAACCAACCAATGAACAACGAAGGAAGTCCATTCTTAGATTCAAGATGGAGGCTGGAGGGAGAAGAAACCTTTGGGGCAATACGCAGTGTCTCAGGTTGCACATGCACTGACCTGGCCTCTCCGCTGGGGCTGGTGCAGAAAGGCTTGCGGTGGTCAAGGATGCCAAGGCTGGTTTGTAACAGGAAACCAGGTCAGAGCCCATGTGTGGGGACTGGTTAAACCAGCACAGCCCATGTCCCTTACTTGAACGACGATGATCTCTGACTGTGACCAATGCGGTGTGGCGGACACAGCACTGTGTGAGCTTATGGGTCTGGGCTTTGAGGAGCAGGGTGGGTCCTGCTTCCGGGGTCTCTGGGGACTCGTCCTCCGGAAGCCAGGTGCCATGCTGGGGGCCCCACATGGGGAACCCCCCCACAAGCAGGTGACTGCCCTGGAGACACACAGCCCCCACCTCAAGTCCCTGAACCTGAAGCTGTGTGGAGCTGACACCCCATCCCCAACAGCTCTGCACCAGCAAAGCAGAGGCCTGACTGTTCAAGACTCGAGGTTCAGGTGGCCAAAGGCAACCACTGCACCAAGTAGGTGCCAGGCCGGCACTGACACAGGAAGTCACAGGAGGCATCTTGTGACCAGTAAGGAGAGGCAGCAGATAACTGATGTTCAGCACCACCACCAGTGAACAAATACAGATTAAACCAAGACTTCTTTGTCTCCATTCAGAGATAGAGATCATCTTGTTAATGTACTAAACGACGGCAAGGTGGTGAATTCTCATCCCACACACGGAGTCTAGAGGAACACGAGACAGTGTGACTCTGGGGGTAAAAGTCTCAGGCACATCCGTTCCCCCCACACACCCATGGGACCCGGTGTGGTACAGCAGACTTCAACAGCAGGACACTGTGAGTCATTAAACAGATTTAAGTATCATTTTACTATGCAGTGAATGATTAATACCTATTAATACTAATAGCAAGGGGATATTTAATCACATGGGAGAAAACTGTCTATTAATTTGGGTTTACAGAGGTATAGATTTTGTTTTGTGTTTTGTTTTTTGAGACAGTCTCACTATGTAGTACAGGCTGGCCTCAAACTCATGGCAGTTCTCCTGCCTCAGCCTCCCAGGTCCTGGGACTGCAAGCATGTGCCACCATGCCCGGTTTATGTACTAATTTTGTATATTGTTACCATGCTAAACTTAATTACTAGTTCCAGACATTGTTTTGCAGATTCCTTGGAATTTTTTTTACATAATCAATGATGTAGTCTGCAAATAAGAATAGTTTTCCTTCTTCCTTTCCAGCCTATAAGTCTTTTATTTCCTTTTCCTGTCTTATTGCATTGGCCACAGCCTCCAAAGGAGATGGAACAGGAGAGAGCAGAGCAGAAAGCCTCGCCTGCTCCCAACCACAGAGGGCAGAGCTCTGTGCACAGTTAGAATAGAGAGGGCCTTCGTGGATGACAGGAGTCTCCTTTCCTTCCTCCATTACTGAAATGCATTCCCTATATTTTATGTTTAAAATGAGGCAGCATGTAATCCTAATGTAATTGCAGGCATGGAAAAAATAGCAGAAAGTAGGAACATTAAAACTCACATTCTGTAATTTATTGGGCTGTCCTGTACAGTAGAAGCCAATACCAGCAGCAGCAGTGTGGTTTAAACAAGTCAGGAGTCATGATTCATTTTCATTTTCTTCTTTATACTTTCGGGTAGCTTCTAACATTTCTAGAATGGACATGTATTGCTTAATTGATTGAATAACAGATGCCAATCAGTGTCCAGCAGGAAGTGGCATCATTTAAGTAAACAGCCACCTCCCTCTGTGTCCACCTATAGCTGCAAGACAGTCACAGTTCTCCTGTCTCTGTCTTGATAATGTGCAATTTTGAAGTAACCTTTATAAAACAAAACCACATCTTCACTTCTCAGGAATGCCTGTTTCTGGGGCGTGTGACCTTTGCAGCGGGTCACCCACACCACACATGCACACAGGGCCCCTTGGCCAGGCCCTGCCTGGCTCACCCCTGCCCTTTCAGACTGCAGTGTGGACAAAAGACAAGTGTGTGTGCCAGCTGCCTGCTCCTCCTCCCCGGTTCTGGCAGTGGCTGGCATCTGCCTTTAATTCTCCTTCGAAAAAGAAGCTCTTAGACATGGAAGGAAATTGGCCTCTGGAGATGGTTTAACACCTATTAAATGCCACAAAACCAGTAATGTGATAGATGAAGTTAAATGGACTACACTTCCGGTTACAGTGGCCGTCCACTTGGTCCAGATGCATGGTTTCCCAGACAGACCCAGCAGGTCCCGCTCTTGGGCAGAGGCTGTGAGTGACCCCAGGGGTTCACAGGCAGGAAACTGGGTCTTTCCCAACTGTGAGCCATTATAGATAAGAACCGGATGAATATCTTTCTGGTAAATCCTTCTGTATCCCTGAAGATTTCACTGTTATCTTCACAGCTTCAAATGACTACTCAATTATAGGCTGGAGGAACAAGAGCCCTGCTGCGCTGCGGGTCACTCTGACCTTGGAAAATATCTCACTCAACTTCCTTGAGGACTGGGAGGCACTGTCAATTACTACAGTGATGCAAGTTTTCACAGCACTAAACGATGACTCAGAACCAGCTACGGGAACATTAAACAAGCCCAAAGCCATACTAGGACCCGGGACACACCCCCAAAAGATGCCCTTCAAATCAGACTAAGGCTCCTCTACCCAGGAGCCTGCACCACCAGCCCTGCGGAGCTCCAGCCCCATCTCAGTGAGCTGATGACCCCAAAGTTCAAGGTCTCCGTGGCGTGGACCTGCAGGCTCAGCAGCCCTGGACAGCCCTCTGGACAGGGGCAAAGGACAGGTGTGGGGCTGCTCTGGGCTCATTTTCCTTCCGGAAAAATTGTGCACCAGATGTAGGAGCGGCTCCTCCCGCCTCCTCCTCCCCGAGCCTGGGCAGCCTTCTCCCAAGCACCCTGGACCCTGGCTCCAGCCCACCACCTGGGCAGGTGCACCAGGGCAGCCGTGGGCACCGAGCGTGTCCAGTCCACCTGGAGACAGGAGACCCCAGCACTGCAGGGCCCGGGACCACTCAGCAAATGCACAGCCACCCGGGAGGGAGGGATGGGGAGCAGTTTGCATCTACTGGGTGTCTACTGGGCTCCCCAGACCCCATCCTGCTTTCCTCCTGATGGGGAGGAAGGGTAGAGAGCTCTGCTGCACAGGTACTGCTCCGACAGGTAACAGTCCCACCCTCACGTAGCCCTGAGGCACAGGAAGCGCTCCTCCCTCCACATTCACAACCAGGTGCTGCCTGGAAGCCCGAGGGACCAGGGACGCATCGCAGGCCCAGGGAACAGCCACGCAGGGACCTGGGCATGAAGTAACAGCGCCCCAGGAGCAGAAAGCAGGGGTCCTCCTAGGCGCGACCACCCGGTGACCACCGCCCTCTGCTGGCGGAACAAAGTTCTGCAACAAAAGGTCTGGAGGTGCTGGGGAGCAGTGAGTCAGTGTCTAGGAACTCAGCCTAAGGACAGCAGCAGGGAGGCAAGGACCTACCTACCGGAAAGGCTCACCCCGGGGTTGTTCCTGACAGAAACTGCAGCCAGTCCAGTCTCCAGAGGGCAGCAGGCCAGGCAGGCTGGGAGCACTGGCCAGGCACAGACCCCAGCAGGGACCTCAGCTCCCAGTGGCCAGTTTCTCCGTCCACCGTTTCTCTCACCTGAGCTCAACCGAAAATGTGAAGTGGAAATGCCAGAAAAAAATCCTGTAAGTTTTAATAGCTTTTATTCTAGAATGTTCTTATCACTTTATTTTACCAGATGGTGTCCGTCTATAACTGTGCCTAATTTAGAAATTATTCACAGGTCTGCGTACACAGGAAAAAAACCTAGTTATGTCCAGGGTTCAAGCAGCCACAGGGCCTGGTCCGTGTCCTCCGTTATTCTGACGATGGGCTTATCAAGATGCAGGGGAGAGCTCTGCCAACCAGGCCGGAGCAGCCCAACACCCTAAGTGACTCCAGGGGAGGAGTCACCAGCCTCAGTTTCCCTCTCCTGATGAGTGGATGGAGGCTGCTGGGGACAGTCACACTGCTGCGAGTCCCCAGGCCTGGGCTCCTGTTTCCCAGCCGTGTCAGGATGGGACCCACACCGCCAATCCGGTCCCTACTGGACTGGTCTTTTTATCATTATTTTTTATTTTTCAAGACCACGCAGTTTTTTAACTAAGTCATTTCAGCCAAAAGGCTGCTGTCAGGAAAGATGTGCGACCCCCAGGGCAACCTGCCTGCATCACTGCTGCCTCTGTGCCCACCCACTGCCCAAGCCCACCTGCTGGGACAAGGCACAGCCACTCCGAAAGGTGCAGGCAGGGTTATTGCACAATGCACCCATGCACCAAGCCCATGATGACTGCTTGCATTCTGCTGCGAGAACATGTACAGCTCTTACACACTCGTGCATGTCCACACCAGGGGGTGGCCAGCTCAGAGCGTGCGCACTTGGGTATTTTGCTGCAGGCTGCCAAGTGCATCTTGGAGAAAGGCAACATTCGAGAGGCCCAGGTCCCCTCTGGACCTGACAGTGCATATTCCAGGGTTTGTCCTTTGTCCCAGGGCCAGACGAGCAAGGTGAGGTAAGGTGTGACATCGAGAGGTCCTCTGTCCTCTCCCCTTCAGAGCTCTCCACGTCTTCTGGCCCTTTCCGTGTCCGTCTGCTGGCCCTTACTGATTTGTAGGGACTCGGCCTATGATAGCAAACAGACCTCATTTCGGCTATCCATGTTCATATTCTTTCCTTAGGAAAACCAGCGGCTTTTGAATTTTCTTTTGGCTGCCAAGACAAGTCTTAACTGTGACACAGTCAGGTGTTTCTCTTTTGCAATTTCTGAGATTGATGTCATACTTAGAATGGCCTTCCCATCCGCAGGCCATCAAACCCAGTCTCCCATGCCTTCTCAGTAGTCTTCTGGTTTCGTTTTCAAAGCTCCCATCTCTGATCCATCTGGAAAACATCTGGTTCCCGGGTACGGCAGGATGCAGCGTCCCTGTCCCAGCCGGCTTCCCCATCATTCCGCCCAGCTCAGTGACTAATCCTTTCTTCCCGGCCCATGAGAAATCGCTGTCCTCACCAAAACCCCAACTCCTGCCAGCGCCCTGGTGTTGAAGAGGAACAGCTATGCGCCCCTGCCCCACAGTGGATTGGCCCTGAGATGTCCCTGCCTCAAGTGCAGCCCCAGGAGGATGCTGGATTCCGCTGGTGGAGGCGGCAGCCGCGGGGAACCCACGGTGCTGCTCAGGGCAGGGGCTCCAAACATCCCAGCAGGAGAACGGAAGGCCCTGCGGTGGGGCATTCTCAAAGCACCCAGCATGCACGCCCCTCTGCCCCCAGCCAGCCTCTTCCGTTCTCGATTCTCTGAGCTCAGGGCTGCTGGACTCTGATGGGTGGAAAATCCACTTATACATTTTTTCTTACTTATACATTGTCATATTTTCCAAAATGACTATAATGAAACGCGTCCTTGTTCGCTTTCTTTAAAAAGCTGTATTGTTAGAAAAGGAAGAGGAAGAGGGGGGAAATGCATAAGCAGCAGGGTCCATGTGTCCCACCTCCAGCAGCCAGGTGCTCGCTCCCCAGTCCTACCCTCTGCTCCCCAAACTCTGGGCACCAACATGCCCTCTGTGGCCACAGTGCACAGATCCAGAAGGGCTGAGAGGGACCTGCAGGGGGACAGAGCCACACAGTCAGGGGCAGCCGGGTCCTGGCTCCGCCTGAGCTGTACGGTCAGGCAGACCTCTGACCCCCAGAGTCCAGAGTCGCACACTGCTGCTCCTCCCTCCCAGGACACCAGTGGTGGCCCTGGGCAAAGCCACATCCAGCACCAGCAGGGGGGGGTCGTGATTTCCCTGGCCTCGGGGCCTGTCCCTCCATGCTCAGGGCAGGGGCTGCATCCGGCTCAACAGGCACAGTGACCCACGTATGGATGGCAGGTTGAGGATCGTGGCTGCATCAAGCAGCCCCTTGGGGGAGCCTCGCGCAGTGCGTTCCACGTCACAAAGGCTGAGGTGAACTGACAAGTGGCCAGAGCAGACAGGGCACACAGCAGGTGTGTGGCGAGCCTGGGCTGCAGAGGACAGAGGGAAGAGCCACAGTGCAGACTCTGGTGCAGAACGCGTGGCCCAACACACAGGTGATGAACGGCAGGCCTGAGGCGCCATTCCCAGCCTGCAGTTCATGCACAAGGCTCCCTCCCTGCCCAATTGGCGGTGCCTGCGCCCCCTCATTTCAGGGCTGTGAAAGCAGAGGCTGAGTCGGGAGCACAAAGGGTGGCACCACCGAGACCCCTTCCAGCTGAGCTGCTCTCCTGCCCCTCCCCGACTCCCCGGCTCCCAGGGGTGCACAGTGTCCCCACCGGAAGGCTCTGGGACACTGCAGGAATCAGACTGGAAATACCTCTAGGAGGGACTGGGGAGAGGCCAGAAACCTCTGGCGGAGGGATCCATCCACTGGCCAAGACACTGACCAGGAACCAAGGTTTGTGGGCACAAGGACAGGTCAGGGGCCTGATGTGCTGTCTGGGCTTAACCGTGTGCAGCCAGGGAGGGCAGACGGTCGAGAGCAGGAGGCAGATGCAGTTCAGGGAGGAAGGCTGTGAGCAAGCCTCTCCATGCCTCGGCCACAGACAGGGAGAGTGGGGGACTTGTGTCTTTAAGAGCTTTGGAGCCATCCATCCCTCCCAGGAAGTCCTGGAGGACAGCCACCGTCAGAGGGACAGCTCTGGAGCGAAGACACAGGCAGAGGAGGAGTGGGCAGGGGCTGAGAGCATTAAAGGATTCCAAAACATGGAATCGCACAGTGAATTCAGAGGCTTGGTTACAGAGCTGGAGAGACCCCTCCACAGAGACAGCAGCTCTGTGCGCAGGGGACGGCGGGGCGGGGGCGGGAGGGGGTGCTGTAGAGAGGGGGTGCCACCACCCAACCCGGTCAGCCCAGTTCACTCAGGCGACCCCCAGAGGCAGTGTAGCGAGACACCAATTGGCTCTGCGATGCCCTGGAACTGATCAGACACACCCAAGAGACAGGCGCTGGCACATGCTTAGGTACACGTCCCACACACAGATGCGTGCACACACACACACGCGCGCGCACACACACACACACACACACACATACTGGCTGCCGCAAAGTGCTGTCTGCTTGGGGATCAGGAGAGATCGGTTCCAATGAACCTGTGAGACATGGCAACATCCTGAGTCCAGATCTGTGTCCAACAGAGGGCAATGCAAAGGGCCCAAGCCCAGACTCCAATCCAACACACAGGAACAGCTGGCTCCTGGCCACGCCCTGGTGTCCCGCACCTGGGCAAGTCCTGGGCCCCTCTCCTCTGGCTCCTGGGGATGTCAGGCCCGACACATCTGGCTGTGCCACTGGGAGAGGTGGCAGTGTAGAGTGCGGTGTCACCTTTCCAGGACTCCCATCCTCTTCCAGAACCTGAGTCTGCAAGGCACAGCTCAGCCCCCAGGATTTCTTCAATGCAGCACCCTAAGCCCAGCAGAGCCCCAGACAGCCCCCCACCCCCGCTGTTACAGTGGCCTCCCTGTGCCTGGGTGACCGCTAGAGCAGGGGTGCAATACCGCCTGTGGCCTCTGGGTGGCACGCCCGTGCTTGGACTCCAGCCAGACAGAAATCAACGGCCTTACCCTGCCGCTGTCCACCGTGAATTCGGCTGCCAATGTGACCTACAACTGGAAATGCCAAGCACCACACATTCAGGACAAGCCCTTGCTTTTAAATGCACTGAAATTCCCCCAGCTGTCCCCAGCAGACTCTGCAGACATGCAGTGGGCAGTGGGCTGCCCGGGCAGCAGGCTGGCCAGGCTCCTGGTCCAGCTTACAGGGAACCAGGAGGAACTGTCCCAGGTGCCTTGTCCTCAGCAGCCCTGGTGGGACGGACCACTTGGCTCATGACAGAAAGGGCCGTTCTGCCTCAGGCCTCACACGGTGCTCAGGGCTGGGCCTCTCTTCTGAGATGCTGATGGCTTAAAGATGTGGGTGGCACCCTGATCCCACCTCCCTGACCCAGCGAGGTTACAGCTAAGCGGCATGGCACCAGCGTAACTCTTGAGGACTCTGACCCCCGCTGAGCCCACCCTCGGCCTGCAAAGGGGGACAGCTTACAGCGCCCCACGCTCACTCTGCTGACACAGCATGCGGCTTGGTGGCAAGGGCCACACCCCCCATCTGTGCAAACTGCACCTACCTGGCCCCAACCCTCTGCCATTGCTCCTTCCTTCCCACTAAATGGAGCAAGCTGTGCCTCCCGAACAGGCCTGAGGGGCTGGCAACCCACCCCACGGGGTTCCTCTAAGACAACATGAGGACAGAGCTGGGGGCTCTGGAAGGTGGTGCCGAGGGGTGGGAACCGGAAGGCACTGATCGCACCTGGAACCAGAGCCCAGTGTCTCACCACAGGGCCTGGGCCAGGAGGACAGAGAGGACTGTGGCCCTGATGGGGAGGAAGCCCAGGTCCCCACGAAGCTGGACAGCACTGCATCCCCAAGGCCAGGCGCCACTTCAAGCTCTACCTCTGCCCTTGCCAGCTGCAAGGCAGCTGCTTTCTCACCTGTAAAATGGGAGCACGCGTCTCCCCTCAGAAAGAGGCAATCGGGGTGAAGCAAGAGTGGAGGCACTTAGGGTTCTGGGAGGAGGAGGAAGAGAATGCGAAGGTCCCAGAGCTGGCTCAGAGCCCAGTGACCCTCACCCTGCAACCCAGAGACCACCGCCCTATCACAGGCACTGCAGCACAGGCAAGGTGACAGGGTGTGGAGACCAGGCCGGGAGCAGGAGGGGCCTGGCCGTCGGTGCCCTCGGCTCCTGACTGGGACACGGCCTCAACCTCCACTACGTGTGACTGCGAATCCCACTTACCCTCAGCCCAGGCAGCTGTTTGCAATCTGCCAGGCCTGGCCAGGGAAGGGAGGAGCTGGCCACACGAGGGCCAGCGATCCGGGGCGTGTGAGGACATCCTAACCCCAGGCCCGGACCCAGGCCGGCGCTGCCCCTGCCCAGGGGTGGTCCCTGCACAGTGGAGCAATGGGGCGGGCTGAAAAGGAAACGCAGCTCCCACATGCCAGGTCTCACCTCTGCCCACCCATCCCCAGGCACAGGAGCCCGGGCCTGGCCAGGCGACTGTGGGAGCCCCCAACTCCTCCAAGTTGAGTTTGTTCATCTGCAAAATGGGCCCGAGGCCAGGGGCCAGACCACCACTCCTGAGCCCTCCACTGCGGCTCCCTCTGGGCCTGAGCCTGTTCACCGGCCGACCCTCAGCCTCCCCGCTGCCCACTGATTCACCCTCAACACCAATGTGTCACCTTCACGCTTTGCAGAGACCCCGATGACCAGCGATTGCCACACGGTAACCACAGCAACAGCAGCAGCAGCAGCCGCACGAGCAGGGTGCACCGTGCCAGGCACCCGGGGCTTTCCGGCCACAGGACCCCACTTCCTGACCCTCACCAGCCCTCCCAGCACAGGTCGGATCAGGGAGGCTAAGGAACATGCCTGGGTCCCCAGCCGAGCACCCGAGTCTGCTCCCAGGCCTCCAAAGCCCCCCAGCATCCTATCCCTAGTTCTCCTGCATCCTCCAACTTTCTTTTTGAAGGTCAAAGAGGTAACGGAACTGTAACTGAGCCCCATCTAGACGCCTCCATCTGCTGGTCCCAGAGTTTCCCAAAGTGCTCTAACTCATCAGCAGTATTTGGGGGATGTCCATGTGCTCCTTAGACGCGCAGGCCCCAGGCTCCACCCCTGGCCCCAGGAATCCATGTCTGCTGGGCAGAGCCCTAGGCCCATTGAGGCTGACAGTTGGATGGGGTCCCAGGCTCAGCTGCCAGTTCCCCTTGTCCTGGGTCCCCTGCTGAGCCCCTCAGGGTCTGGCTAGAAGGAGGTGGATGTGCGCTCCCCCACCCCGCTCCCCTTGGGCCGGAAACACCAGCCTGCACCCTCAGCCCAGCCCGCACCAGGGGCACCCTGACAAGCCTGCGGCTCAGCTGTGGCATGAGGGTGGCCCACACCTGCTGCACACGGAGGGGACCCCAACACACACAGGTTACACTGTGTGCTGAACGCAGGGCTCCTCAGCAACCCACCTGCCAAAGAGCACGCGCACCCCACAGCCCGGAAGGAATTCTGGGAACCCCAGCAAGACTTAGAGACCAGTATTCTACACCCATGTTGCCGATGGGGAGGCTGAGGCCCAGGGAGGAACTGCCAAGATTCCTGGGTGATGCTGAACCCAGGCACGCAGGAGAGGTGAGATTCAGACCCTGCCCTCCCTCCTGCTGTGCTGTGAACCCAGAAGCCAAGAAGCTATGGCGCCATGGCGCTGAACCAGCCACTCTGCCCTCCAGGCTTGGGGCCTCCAGGCACTGACCCCCTGAGTCCCTCAGCAGGATGCACACTGTCCCTACCGCCCCAAAGTGTCCCAAAGAGGAGGCCACAGAGTCTCCAGCTTGAGGC